AGTAAGCTCCAGAAAGACAGGGAGATATTTTGTTCACTGTTGATTTCCCAGCACCAAGAGCACTGCCTGAATACAGTAAGTGATCTGTAAATAGTTGCTAAACTTATAAACTGATGAAATGACCAAATTATTCATATTTATTTCCATATGGCATGGACAGGTCTATGCATATAAAACCTTAGGAACATCAATAAAGCAAGACTGAATTTTGAAGAACTTTTACACAAAGGAAGATGTTAAAAACATTTATTAAATTATTTGTTGAGTTCACTTTACCTTCCCAACTGTATTTGTAGTTTTTGACTACAGGATAGCTGTCCAAATTCACCTAGAATGCTTTATCAACATGAAATTAAAAAATCATCCCTCCTTATGGCTACAGATACATCTTAAGTCTAATCAATATAGCAATACATATGGTACATATAGATAATTTATGGAATAAATAATATATTTAAAAGTGACCAGTGATATATAAAGACTAGTGATTACTTTTACTTTTTGCTACTTTGAACAAATATGTGGAAGAATTACAGATACACAGACTTGTCATAAAAATTTTCAATGTCTATTTTGTTGACTTACCTATCCATTAACACTTAGCAGAATTTCCAGTTGGGTTTCAAAGAACAGAATGTACATATATTTTTAACAGCAATTTTATCTAGTTTGAATATCACTTAAAAAGTGAAATTATAGAGCTTCTTATACCTTATGGTTTAGGGGAGTGATTCAGAATTAGATTCTGCTCAAGGCACCATTAAAGTTTTAGGTTTCTTTGGTGCTATAGTTAATTATTTCAACTATATATAATCTTTTGTTTGTTTTCATTTTCACATTAGCTATTATTCTTACTACTCATAGATCTAGAAAATCTTGCAAATCTATCAGTCTTTCAGGTATGTATCAATTATTGATATAGTCTTTAAAGATCCTAAAAGAATTTCTTCTGAGGATCTAACATCAATTTTTATTTTTCCTTGCTATTTCAAACTCAACTTTCAAATACATAACAAATGTGTAGAAACATCAATAGGATGTAGGATCTGGGGAAAGTTAATTATCATAATAGTTCAACAACATGAACAACTAAGATTATCATATCTTGTAAAACCTATGAGCTAAATTACTAAACTGAACAGACTAACATAAACTAAATAATAAAACTACAATATAATGAATTGGTCTTACAGATGAGAGTTCTGACCACTAATGATAAAAGTTCCAGTTCACTTTGGTCTATTACTTATTCTTAAAAGGATGTAGTCAATGCCAGGTGATTTAGGGGTTGAGTCTCTGAAAACTTAACAGGAGGTGGTAAACATAGATCACCAAACCAATATGGATTCATGCTTCACTGAAGATCCATTTGTGGCCAGCTGTATTCATAATGTCACAGCTGTCTCTCCCAGCCATGTTTGGGCAACATAAACAAGATTGGGGGCTTCATACACAAATAAATCATGGGTAAGGAGTTGATTTAAATGAGCAGAGACCTGCATTGAACTCAATGTAAGTCACACAAAAGCTCTAAGTATGCCTGACACATTCAGATAAAAAAATTTTCACTACAAGATGCCAGGAAGTAAACCCAGGTTTAATATATTAATCTTTCCACAAATCTTTTTGTGTCTGTAAAGAAATGTTAAGATTCTTTAATTTAGTAACTTAGTCAATAATTTTCCAAATAACCACATTTTAGTATCATTGCTCAAAATTTCTCATTCTTTACTACTAAAAGACTTTAATGGAGCCCAAAACATGTATAAGAACATTCCAGGCCAGATGTAGGGTATAAAACTATAAGGATGTAGACAGTTATTATAAGTAGCCTGGAATGATTAAAATTGAGTCTAGACCCAATAATTCTCTGATAAAATACTAGCTCTAACTTTCCAACTTTAGCCATTCATTCTCTCTAATTTCCGTTAGGAAGACATCTATGACACTGTAGATACGGTTTCATTGATTAAACCCACTCTGACTGTGAACCCATCCACCATACATCATTTTCTCCTTCCATTCCATATCTTACTTCAGCCCGTTCAGTGAAATTCATTTATGCTGTATATAGAAACCTTAATGTAACATCAATTCCTCTCTCTCCTTTACTCACAACATTTGATTAATCACTAAGGTTATTTTTGAAAGGTTCTAAGATTTATGTGAGTTTTCTATCATCACCACTACCAATGTATTGATTCTGTCCATAATCATTTAATCTGAAATTAAGTAGCCTCCTGTTTTCCTATGTCTGTATCTCCCTTATTGTGGATTCTTTATTACCACTATGGTGGCTTCTGGAGAAATAATATGTCAAGAGTCATAGAATCAGAAAGTATTTTTTGAAGGTTTGGTCTCAGCCATGGCACTAATTGGAAAGTGGTGAAATCTTTAAGATCTCCTAGTGGGAGGTTTGTTTTTGAAATCATTAGAGTAGCATCCCAGCTCCACCTTCATCTCTTTCAGTTGCTCCTGGCCATGAGGTGAGCAATTAGGCTCCACCACACATCCTTATTATGATGCAAGCCTCTCCACAGCCCCCAAAGAAAAGGAGCCAGCTGAACACGGATTATACCTCCAAAAATGTTAGCCAAAATAAAACTTTCATCTTTTTTTTTTTTTGGTTGTACTGGAGGTTAAACACAGGGTCTTATGCTTACTAGGCAGGTACTCTACAAATTAAGCCACTCTGCCAGTTCAAACTTTTTTCTTTGTAAGTTGATTATGATGTGTTTCTTACAGTGACAGAAAGCTGAATAGTCCAGAAACCCACCCATCTCCCCATGTCCAGGAAAAATTGCACAACCTTGATACTCATCCACTTCCTCATCTGTATAGCATACTATATATGTGTATAGAAATATGACATTGAACCCTATTAATATGTATAATTAGTATATGTTAACAGAAATATCTCAATTAAAATAAAGATACACATGCATGTGTATTTTGATTTAATAATACTTGATCTACTAATAATTATCATGGGATAATTTAAATATCTCACTTTTTTGTAAGAATTAATAAACTGTTGTATGTGGAAATATTTTACAAGATATAAACCATTGCAATAATGAAAAAATGTCTTTTCTTCATATGGGTTTACTTAACATCACAGGAAAAAAAGTACATAAAGCTTCTAGCACAACTACTTCATAATTGGCAAATAATAAAAAGTAAATCTCTAACCTACTTGTTTCCATTTTATAAAGTAATTTAGTGGTTCACTTTGTCACAATGTAAAGCATATATTAGAAGACCCTCCCATCTCTGCAAGCCATCTTTTTTAGTTATCCGGTTAGGCCTTCTTCCCCATTGGGAAATCAATCTTACCAACATCCCACCTGTCTATGACACATCTTATCACTGCTGCCCACATGCTTTCTTAGACTAGACAGCCAACCCTTGTTTTCCAGCCTGATTTTACTAAATTGGCCTTCTACTGAGAACCCTCCTGCTATTCCCTCCAAAAGTCATCCCTTTCCTGATTTTCAAAATCTAATATATTTCTATGTTAAACAATTTTACTAGAGCATTTTAACCATTTTCTCACATTGTTCCTCTCTCCCACAAAACTTAGTTCATCAAGGGTAAAGAACAGATTTCGTTCACCTGGGAAGGTAAAATTCTTTTCCCAGAATATAGTATGTTTTAGAAAGGCAGTAAATACTTAAAGGAATTTAGTAGTCAATTGGTTAATGTAAGAAAGTTACTTAACTCATCTGACATCACAGCAAACTAGAAAATGAATAAAATCATTAAAGGTAAAAACTAGGATTTGCACTAGTATAACAAAATAAAAATAATGACAAGTTGTGGGCCATCTGATTAAGATATCCTAAAAAAAATACAGGAATAAAGTATTATTGTATCACATTTATTACCGCTTGTAGAAACAAAAATTACAAGCCAAAAGGTAACCAAATCAAAATGAAGAACATATCCATAACTTTCTGCAATCACATTATAAACCTATTTACTTAGAATACATTAGTTGATTAATAGAAATGTAAAACATTGTAAATCTACTGAATCATACTGTTTTTAAAATATACTTTTAGTGGGACTAAATGTCAATACATAACATAGTATAACAATTTGCAGGTATAAACAATGTAAGAACTATATAATAAAATACATTTATTTTATCCACGTGAAGAACAGAAAGAAATTTTGCTTCACTGCCATTCAGATGGATACTGATAAACTACATTTGTTGTTTGCACTTTAAAACCAAAATTTCGGGGGGATTCCAAGATGGCGGCTAGAGGGAGGAAGCAGAAAGCGAGCCTCCTATAGTGAAATCTTGGAGAGATGCCGGAGACACACTTTGCAGGCA